GGCCGGTAGCCAGGCCGGTATGAAAGGGGTTTTTGCAACCGGGCGAGCTTACCGGGGGGCCCTTTTCAAACCGGGTCTAAATGGTCGCCGGCCCTAACCAAATCTGCCCTCACTGATACCCATTTACTCCTCGGTGGAGAAAGGTGAATGGGGGCAAAGTGACTTGCCCAAGGTCGCAACATGTTGCCACCAGCGGCATTCAAACCCTTAACCCTATGATCAGAAGCCACAAACCCAAACCACTAGGCCACATGCTCCCCATGGGGGGGTGGGGCTTAATAGATTGGTTTGTTGCTGTAGCTTCCACTTCATCCAGGGAGTCCAGAATCATTGGCGTACTTGGGCAGACGCTCAGAGGGTCAAAAAGGTGAAAAATGGGTCAAAAGGTCAAATATAGGTTTTCTGAAAATCGATAGAGCACTGAAATATTTTTCACTTGGTATACAGGTCGCCTAAATAGGCCATGTCATTCTGATGTAATTAACAGAATGAAAAAAGACGGAAGATGGTTTTTCATTATTTTTGCCCGGAATAAGGGCGTTTGCATGTAATGCTCATGTACATGTATAAACAAAGACTGCGCTAGCTTCCCACTTAAGGGTGGATGTCTAGCAAAGTTTATTCCAGGCACAACATGTAAATTACTGTGAAAATCAAGGTTTTTATACATCAAAATGCACCATATTACTTTTATCAGTCTCAAAAAGGGAACACAAAGACCTAACTAACATTTGCATGCTTGGACTGCTGACATTCTTTTCCTTGGAACGAAACAATTTACTGCTGGAAGTAAATAAAAACATGCTCTGGCCTCCTTCAGAAAAGATGATGCTTCTGTGGCAGAAAATTGAGAGCTATTGAGATGGTGGGTCCAAACTCGGGGGGGGGGGGGATATCTCAGCTGAAGCTTGAAGCCCAAACCACAGATGCATTCAACATTTGCGAAAATTCTACCCGGCACTTCAGTGTGAAACTTATGGCATCTAACAGCAGCCTCGACAACTGTGCAAAGAATGCTCATGAATAAACAGGCAACAAGGCCCTTAAATAAACACTACAGTGATAAACAAGCCCAAGATTCATACCTTGTAATGGATGTGTTGAAACTTGACTGGCGAGCCCACTTTTCTCCAGAGGGAGGAGGCAAGAGACAGTGGTAAGAGGAGGGAGCTCTGCTCACTAAGTCTCTGGAAGGCCAGCACTGAGTTGATCAGACGGTGGTTGTCCGCTGTGAGGCTCTGGGAAAAAAATCGGGGAAATGCAACATAACACTACCTCAGTTCACCTCATAACTCGTCTTCAAGCTGATTCGTCGGGAAACCTAGACTGTGGATCATCTCAAACCCTGAACTATGGGTCTTCATTCAAACACTGAAAGTTTAATTTTAAGTTTTAATATTAATAAGTTTGATGTATGGTGCTTTGAACTGCCTGAATGTGTTGGCAAAAAGGGGGGCCAGCAGGATACTGTAATACCAAAACAAAGTATGTAACACTAACGCCTGGTTTCCATATCGACGTAAGAAATGCAGAGAGCAATGCAATCAAGATGCAAACTGCAACACAGACATATAGAAGCGGGTCAAACAGAGGTGTCGCTGACGACGCAAACTCAAACCAGCCTGCGAACGATCGGCAAAGTTGAGCCAGGTTCAACTTTGCCAACTGTCTGCATCAAGCTAAGGAAGGGTTCGACCTTAACACTGGTCCACTAGCCAAATTCAAGTAAAACCCCGGCGGTATAGCGAAAGCCCTCGTCTGGGTAGTCCAGCGGTCTAGTAAAACAATATTCTGAAATAAGCGGCGAAATAGTTGATTGTGATGCATTCCCTCTAGCTACTGCTGGTTTTGAACCAAATAAAATAGGACCTTTTGTAACCAAGAAAATAGTTCAGTCCCTGGCACCAGCCCAGCAGAAGTAATGCTGAAGTCTATGAATGCAGCGGCAGTATTAAAATTGTTTGAAATTTTTCTTCCACAATGCCTTTGCGATGCGATCGCACTTTACTGTGGGCCGTTTTACCGCGTGTGGCCTGTAAGTCTCGACAACATGGTACGACTTGACGTTGGTTCTGCATACAAGATCTAAATCAGCACGTGCTTTCATGCATTGCATCATAGAGGTACATGTAGGTCATGAATATGAGTGTGTATGATGTGTGTATACACATTACGTTATCATGATTATGCAGTACTGATTTTCTGATTGGTCATTGGTAGTTGTGATACCAGCGATGTCACGGTTGTGATTTCGTGTTTGGTTCGCGCACTACAGGCTGCATTACACTAAATACGCACCAGTAGAAAATATTGCAAAATCAGACTGAAATAGCGCTGCCTGTTGACTCTTGGAAAGAGGTTGGCCTTCGTTTTTTCAATGGAAATTCAAGATTGTGGCCAGAAGATCACTTGGTGGTTAGCCACGAAAAATGTTTTTATTCGTCTTTCCCCGAAGATACCTCCAAAACAGTGGTAAAACTATGCGCTCAACTCTGAATGTAGCCACCCGCCACTTTTGGAAGAAATACCCCAAACTGGAAATTATCAGTCCCAAATTCGGAATTAATAGAAATATTTCTATGATCCCTCCTGATTATGGCATGTCTTATTGTAAAAACCCTGTGGGATCACAAAATATAAATGAGCTCACACGCAGAAATACAACCATTTGGTGGAACGCACCCCATGGGTACTGGACACAGTCGAGATCAAACACTTTACTGTATGTACATTTCGCCGGGTGTACATGTACATTTATGTACATACATGTATGTGTGTGTACATATGCATGCTGCATAAAATGTACATGTACATAAACTGTGATAATGATATATTTTTTTTCTGTCTCAAGGATTGTGAATAAACCATTTCAGCAGGTAACCACTTTTGTGTGTTTAATTTTCTTGAGTAGAATTATACTCATGAATATTCTGGAAATTCATAATTACCATGGTCATTTATGATTACTCATCAACAATTGAACAACAGTAAGCACCAAGTGCACACTGTTATGCATGATGTTGGAGCAGAAAACACTAGTGCCAAAAAGGAATATTGAAATTTGAGGGAAGATGCAAACTAGTGAGAATGCTGGCGGACTAGTAAAACACCATCACTGCTGGTCCGGCTGGCACGTGAGAAAAAAAGTTAAGGGCAAACCCTGCGCAGTATCCCCATACAAACACACATGACTGGCATGCAACGATGTCCCTCTTGCTTAGGTCCCCAAATTTGGCCCATTTTCTCCTTATTGCTTAAATATAACACTCTTATGATCAACTAAATAGCTGGCCATCGATGAAATGCATGAAACTGGAGTACAGGTTTGGCATCATTAGGTGGCACAGTCAATCTAAGAGGGCATTCCCCCCCCCCAAAGTCACAGAGTTTGGGATGCCATATTGTTTAAATTTTTGGATGGAATGATATCATGTACCATCTGTTCCGTTTGTGTTTGCCTCTTCACATTCTGCGGACTGTCTGTGTTACAAACAACGATATGGAAAGCAGGCTCAAGAGAGAAGTTTTGCTTCAGAATTTTTTTATTTTAGGCTCACTTGTACAAAAACAGTCCTAAGAGACCCACCCATATTGACAGCATTAACTCGGGGGGGGGGAAATTATAAACAGAGTTGTCATCAAATCATCAAAAATTGTCACAAGTGGCCTGTCATTCACTTACACTGCTTGTAAAAACTGCTGGTGCCACTCCCACTGCCATGATGCCCTTGCCTTTGTACTCATCAGCTAGATTCTCAACAAGGCTGGATCCCAGACCGCCAAAGCCATCATAGAAATCCACCAATACCTGAAATCCCTGCCAATACACAGTGAACATGGTTAACAAAGAACAAAAATAATGAGTCTGCAGTATAAAGTCAACATGCAAAGGGGATTTTTTCATTTGTGTGACTAGATCCCACAAACGGGTCGGTTTTGGTTAGCATTCAAACATGTAGAAAGGGCACAGAGCTCTATGTTTTGATGCATCACTCAGTTTGGCATCCGGATAAAAATAGGCATTAACCTTCCTTTTGCTGTAACCATCAAAAACAGTAAAAAATTGCTTCCACTTGATTTCCCCCAGTACACAGACACATATGGGAAATTTGACTTGTTTTGACTGATAGGACAACTGTGTCAAGAATGCATCTTTGCATAGGAAGGTTACGTGGCTGAAAAAAAGGTTGAAAGTTCCTATTGATTTATGCTGGGCAAGGTTTTCTAACAGTTTTAACTCAGGGAGTGGTTCAGGCAACTCAGGACTTGTTTCATTTGAATGGGTCACAGTTATAATGCTGGTCCATAGGGCCAAACTGTACAGTTTAACAAATTACGTCATGTAGTCACATGATACTGGATCTTACAAAGAAACTAACTGCTGTCCTGTGCTACAGCACCTGCTGTGTCCTACAGTGCCAATCAAAATGCAGGCAGGTTGATTTCAATCTGCCCGATATGTGAGATAAACATTTGGGGTAAAATGTAGGCAATGGACAGACACACACAATTTGACAAGGAATATGTACATGTGCCTGCCAATGACTTTGTAGATTTTC